AGAACAACCTCATTGTTATACTAGTCACAAAAGGCAAAATCTTATATTAATGCAGAAATCCACTCAATAGAGTCCATATGTTATTTGCGAACTGCCGGTAGTCATACTGAGTGCAATATTCAAAATATAATAATATTATTCCTTTAAAGACAAAATACAGCACTTAAATCATGCAACTGTCTATCATCTAAGCCTCAGTAATGCTGTTCTCTGTCTTCTATCCTCAGGCTATTCCATTATAGGTAAGATTTCAAAACAATGGAAAAGGCAGAGGACAGATTCAGTCGGATGTGATATCAGGTTATAGCTGTAAAGAGATGTGAATTGTTTTCTATTAGAGTTGAGAAGGTTAGGGGATAACCAAATAGACATCTTCAAGCAGATGAAAGTTATCACTGGGGAGACTGTGACATATTAATATTACTGACCGTTGGTACATGTGATGGCACAGATTTAAGACATTCAAAAGAAGAAATAGAGGTGAGGTTGGAATATATTTCCTTAAAAGGAGGATGATTCAAGTCTAAAATAAAACAAAGAACTGCAGATACTGGAGATCTGATACAAAAGCAGAAATTGTTGGTGAAACTCAGCAGGTCTGACAGTATCTGTGGGGAGATATTAGGGAGGTGATGGCTAGTGGTATTATTGCTGGACTGTTAATCCAGAGACCCAGATAACATTCTGGGGACCCAAGTTCAAATCCTGCCATGGCAGATGTGGAATTTGAATTTGATAAACATCAGGTGGCTCAGTGGTTAGAACTGCTGCCTCACAGCGCCAGGGACCCGGGTTCAATTCCACCCTTGGGCGACTGTCTGTGTGGAGTTTGCACGTTCTCCCTGTGTCTGTGTGGGTTTCCTCTGGGTGCTCCAGTTTCCTCCCACAGCCCAAAGATGTGCAGATTAGGTGGATTGGCTATACAAAATTGCGTGTAGTGTTCAGGGGTCTGTAGATTAGGTGGGTTAAAGGGGGATGGGTCTGGGTGGGATGCTCCAAGGGTCGGTGCAGACTTATTGGGCAGAAGGGCCTGTTTCCACACTGTAGGGATTCTATGATCTGCAGTCTAATGATGACCATGAAGCCATTATCAATTGTCAGGAAAAAAACCATCTGGTTCACCAATTGTGCTTAGGGGAAGGAAACTTGCCATCCATACCTGGTCTGTTCTATATGTTACTCCAGATCCATAGCAATGTGGTTGACTCTTAACTGCCATCTGGACAATTAGGGATGGGCGATAAATGCTGGCCCAGCCAGTGACGCCCCTCATCCCATGAATGAATTTTTTAAAAATAGTGTTAGCATTTTGAGTTCAGTGACTCTTCATCAGAATGTTAACTTTGCTTTCTCCCCATAGATGCTGCCAGACCAGATGATTAAAATCTGTTTCTATCTCAGCTTTAGTGTCACTGGACTTAGCTATTCAATTCTCCCCTGGCCAGCCTCCCACTAGTAATCCACCTTAAACAGGAGGTCATCAAAAACATTTGCTGCCCAGGTCTGAGCTCACTGGAAACCCCAATTCCTCTATGCTTGCTGCACTTCACCAGTTCCCAGTCAAGCAATGTTTGGTTTTTAAAATGCTCATGTGTGATTATAAATCCTTTTGCCCCTTTTTGTTGCTGTCGTCTTCTCCAGCTTCACAATCTTCTCGAAACTCTCCACTCTTCAAATTCTGGCCTCATGCACGCTACTGATTTTGATCATTTCACTGGGGGCTATGTCTTCAGCCCCCAATGCTTCTAGTTTAAGATTATCCTCCGTAAAAGCTTTTGGCATCCTTGCCCCTCTTTCCATCCCCCTCCCCACCTTTTAAAACCCTTATTAACAAACTGCCTCCTTGACCAAATGTTGGCCTTTTTAGTGTCTCCACAGAGGCTATTTGAATGTTGCCTGCAATTTTTATTTTGTCTGAGATCAACACCCTCTCAATCCGCAACCTGTACCATCTAGAAACATGAGGGCAGCAGAGACATAGGAACACCATCCCTACAAGTTCCCCTCCAAGCCACTCACAACCCCAATTTGGAAATCTATCAGCATTTCTTCACTGTCGCTGGGTCAAAATCCTGGAACTCCATCCCTGACAACATTCTGGCTCTCCCTACATGCCAAGGACTGCTAGATGGGAGTGATGGACTAGTGGTATTATCACGGAACTGGTAATCGAGAGACCCAGGTAATGGTCTGAGTTTGAATCTCACCACAGCAAATGATGGAATCTGAATTCAAAATCAGGAATGAAGAGTCTAATGATGACTACAAATCCATTGCTAATGGTTTGGAAAATGTCCTTTGGAGAAGGTCTGGCCTACATCAGAGGCTGAGGGGTGACCTTGCAGAAGTTTAAAAAAATCATGAGGGGCATAAATAGCAAAGGTCTTTTCCCCAGCGTAGGGGAGACAAAACTTGAGGGCATAGGTTTAAGGTGAGAGGGGAAAGATTTAAAAGGGACATAAGGGGCAAGTTTTTTTCACACAGAGTGGTGCGTGTATGGTATGAGCTGCATATTATAACATTTAAAAGGCATCTGGATACGTGTATGAATAGGGAGGGTTTAGAGGGAAATGGGTCAAATGCTGGCAAATGGGACTAGATTAATTTAGGATATCTGGTCGGCACGGATAAATTGAATTAAAGGGTCTGTCTCCACGCCGTACAGCTCTATGACATGTGACTCCAGACCTGCATCAATGTGGTTGATTCTTAACTACCCTCTGGGCAATTAAGGATGGGCAATAAATGCTGGCCTAGCCAGTGATGCCTTCATCCTGTAAATGAATTGTAAAAAAGGCAGCTCACTATCACCTTTTCATGGTTTATCCTGCCATGCCCATGTTCCTTTATACTTTAAAAAAAATCTGCATTGCTTTGCTCCTGCCCAAAAGCTACATCCGGTTGACTAATTTAGTTCACTTGCTGATTCATACCATCTGAAAATGCAGTTTCACTTGCATCAATAGAAAAAAGAATGACTTAGCAACTGTCATAATTGCCCTTTGCACCAAATGGAATTCGTACAGAACTGATCAAAGACCCTCTGCATTTTACAAATTAATGCACGCCCATCTCCTTTACCGTGCCTTTACTATTGGATACAGATATACCTGTTACTGAACTACCACTCCAGCTCGGTCTCTAGAAGGTACCTTTTAGCACCTCGCCTTACAGCTACATTGATGAGGGCCTTTTATTGTTAAAACCCCTTCCCTTGTCCCCCGTTGCATTCCCAATCTTCAAACGATTTTAACAAGTCACCTTTAAGCTTTAAAACAAAAGAATTGGCTTAGGTGGATTTCGTTCAAGTTAAGGCGCAGCAGTGAAAATAAAATCAAAGGTCACAAGTCTGAACATCATTTTAGCTATGTGAAGCCACCCAGTATAATGTCTTGTCTGATGTCCGTTCCCTAGTATAAAAAATTTCCCTCCCGGCCAGTGCTGAACACATTGGGAAGCCAATGACCGCAGCTGATGTTTCTGGAATATGGTTTGATCCAGCGAATCAATCGGCATCTAGAATTGATAATTCCATTAGTTATCAAAGACGTATCGCAATAAAACAAAACGCAGCATGAAAAAAAAATCGTCTCAAGTAATTATAGACTGGAAAAAGGACAGCAGCAAATGAGATTAGAAGCCCGTGGGTCCCTTTTAACAAGGGGACACCATAAATGTCCATGTTTGTAAATACAATTCCTTCTGGGGAATGTGAAATGTTCTAAAAGTACAGCTACTCTGTAGAATGTTTATTAAAATGTAAATGCAGCTGCTTGTTATATGTACGACAAAGTATATATTTATGATATACAGTTCGTTAACGCACTTCCAAATTGTGTACATTGCATTGGAATATTATAGATCCGGTCCCAAATGTAGATTCGGATGTCGGTAATCATTCACAGTGCATTTAGATGGTAAATATATAGCATTCTGATTGTCTAAAAGCACTATAAATGGGTCCAAAATATGAGATTAGCCATAAGCATATACGAATATATAGCATACTGGGTTGCCTTCTATAAGAATATGCACAATTTAGAAAGTATGGGATGCTGTCTTTCGTTAAAATGTGCACAGTATACATAAGTCCATGTATGGCAAATTGATTGTGTACGTAAATGCAAATACAGATGATAAATGCATAGCATACCGTATATTGTGATTTTAACCCTCAATAAGTACATAGGCGGTATGTAGATACAAATATATGGGAGAGTGTTATTCTATAAGAACAGTATATAATCTATGAATGTATACGATGTTTGCAGTCTATAAGCACTCACACGTTCGCACTCTATAGGAACATGAATGATAGAATGTTTACTGTCTATGAATACAGTATACAGACGTTGAATGTCTAAGATACTGACTGTGTATAAGCACGTACTATATATAGGTGGCAATTTCAAAGGATACTGGTTGCGTACAAACAGACAGTACATACTGGTAAATGTATAGGATTTTGACTGTCAACAAACATATACAGTCTGTACATAGTAAGTGTATAGGATACTGGGTCTTCATATGCAAACGTACAGTGCGTAGATAATAATGAATAAGATGCTGGATGACTATCAGCACACGCAGTGTGGATTCTGATTGTATATCATTCTGACTGTCTAACAGCACACACAAAGAATATAGATGGTAAATGTATGGGATTCTGACTACACACACACTATGTAGATGGTAAAGGTAAGGAATTCTGACTGTCTATACACACTTTGTAGACGGTAGGTGTATAGAATTCTGACTGTCTATACACACATACACTTTGTAGATGGTAAATGTATGGAATTCTTACTGTCTATAGGCACACAATGTAGATGATAAATGTATGGAATTCTAACTGTCTATCCGCGCGCACAGTATATAGACGGTAAACGTACAGCACACTGTCATTCTATAAGGACACAAGATAGTGGCGAATATACAGAGTGCTGTTGTCTATAAGGTGAAGTGTATGTTACAGATTAGTCTGAAAGCTGTTACTTAACCAGGCCTTGACTCGGATTTTCACCTCTCCTTCTTGGGGCTCGGGCATCGCTTTCTTGGCCACCCTCAGCTTGTTTAAACCCCCAAATCCGGAGAGGATGACGGCTCGAATCTCCTTGGTGTCCCCCAGCACAGTGCCGCGCTCCCTGGCCGCATCCTTCTCGATCATATGCTCGGTCTCCTCGCTCTTATCTACGCCGTCGTTAGCCATGGGAGATGGTGCTGGAGACGGCCCGCTGGGGTCGGATGGGTGAGGAACAAAATGCTCTCGCTGAAATGTCCCTCCTGCACAAGGCAGTGCGAATGCGCCGCTGAATTGAGCCCGTAAATGAACCAAGGCGACAGCACTGGCGCAGACAGACAAAACTGGTCGTATTGCAGTGAGTATAACTCGCGGTGGCTGGGAGGGATGTGTTCATTTCTCTTGTAAAGTTATCATCCCAGCAGCGCGGACCTACTGCGGGTGCTGCGTTGCAAAATAAATGTAATACAGCAAACCTGAAATTCAATTGGAAACTGACATGGCTCATGATGGGAACAGATCACTCTAAGCTGAGCTTTCTGAGCAGGTGGGATTAGTTTAGTTCGGAAACAAAACAGAAATTGCTGGAAAAAGCTCAGCAGGTCTGGCAGCAGGGAAGACAATGGCCCTGTGGGATTATCACTGGACTGTTATTTCAAAGACCCAGGATTTGAACCACTGAGCTGGTTTAAATCCCACCACAGCAGATGGTAGAATTTGAATTCAATAAAAACTATCTGGAATGAAGAGTCTAATGATGACCATGAATTAATTGTTGGGAAAAACCCATCTGGTCTACTTAATGTCCTTCAGGGAGGGAAATTGCCATCCTTGCTTGGTGTGGCCTGTGACTACAGACCCACAGCAATGTGGTTGACTCTTGAATACCCTCTGGGCAATTAGGGATGGACAATAAATTCTGGCCTAGCCAGTGATGCCCACATCCCATGAATGAATAAATGGGAAAAAAAAAGTCCGTGTTGAGAAATCAGAGTTAACATTTTGGATCGAGTGACCCTTCCTCAAAACCCACAACTTTATTATGAAGACAAGTAATGGCATTATTCCTGGTGTTCTGGCCAATTTTTATCCCTCACAAAACTAAATGGAGCTTAGGTCATTATTTAAAAAAAAGGGTGACCCATTTAAAACAGAGATGAGGAAATATTTTCTTTTCCTCTCTGAGGAATTCCTTTTCTCAAAAGGCAGTGGATGCAGAATCTTTGAATATTTTTGAAGCTGAGGAAGATAGATTCTTGATCACCAAGGGGATGAAAAATTATCGGGGATATGAAAGAATATAGAGTTGAGGTTAAAATCAGATCAAGTATGACCTTCTAAGGTGTGGCACAGTGGCTCAGTGGCTAGCACTGCTGCCTCACAGCACCAGTGACCCGGGTTTGATTCCATCCTCAGGCAACTACCTATGTGGAGTTTGCACATTCTCCCCGCATCTGCATGGGTTTCCTCTAGGTGCTCTGGTTTCCACCCACAATCCAAAGATGTGCAAGTTAGGTTGATTGGCCTTGGGGAATGCAGAGTTACAGGGATGGGATGGGATGTGTCTGGGTGGAATGCTGTTCGGAGCGTTGGTGTGCACTCAATGGGTTGAATGGCCGGCTTCCACAATGTCAGGATTCTGTTGAATGGAACAGCAGGCTTGAAGGGTGGAGCGGCCTACTGTTGTTCATATAGACTGTCTGGTCATGGAATTGAAATATTAACACAGGTTCTGTCTCTCTCTACAAAAAAAGTCTAACCTGCTGAATTTTCTTTTTAATCCCAGCATTTTCTGTTTTTCTTTCAGCTTTCCAGTATGTGGAATTTGCTTTCCAGCATAATATGAATTGTGCCTCTCAGCTAATACATTGCTGTTTGTGGGAGTTTGCTGTGTGCAAATGGGCTGCTCAGTATCTTGCATGACTCCAGTGGCTACACATCAAAATAACTTTACTAGCTGGAGGACAGTTTGGGGATTTCTGAGGTCATGAAAGATTCCAGGGAAATGCAAGCATAATCTCCACATTGCAAACATCATGAGAGACAGAAAGAGTGCAAAAACATTTATTAGGATGCCACCAGAATTGAAAGATTATAACAATTGTGGAAGGCTGAACAATTTGAGACTCATTGTTTTCTTTGAATGTGAAGGCTAAAGGCTGTAAAGGCTAAAATGTCTTTAAAATAATGAAGGGGTAAATCGTAAGATAGATCTGTGAAAGGCCAAACCAGGGTCCATAAATATGAATTGATCACTGTTAAGTCCAAGAGAGTACGCAGAAGATGCTTCTTCAATCAAATAATGGCTAGAAAGTGGAACTTGCTCTCACATGAAGTGGCTGAAATGAACTACATTGATGTATTTAAAGGGAAGCTGAATAAGAACATATGAGAGAAAGGAATAGTACCGGAGTTTGAAGAAGAATTGATCAGCTGGACCCAGTTTGCACTGACCTACACAGAGTACTGGTTAAGCAATGCCCTGATTTTAAGATTTGCATCCTTGATTATGAGTTCTTCTATGTTCTCACCCCTCTATAACCTATTCTGTCCCTGCAACCCTCTAAGATATCAATATTCCTCCAATCTTTTAATTGCTTCACCATTTGTGGTTGTACTTTCAGCTGCCAATATCCTCAGCTCTGGAATTCCCTCCCTAAATGTCTCTACTTGTCTACCTCCGTTTCCAATCAAGATGCCCCTTAAAACCTGCTTTGGCACCTTCTATGACACTTTGATCAGCATTTTGGTCATATATCCTAATCTCTCCTTATGTGGTTAGATGTCCAATTTTATTTGACAATCATTCTTGTGAAGTGCCTTGAATATTACATTGCATTAAACAGGCTATGTAACTGCAATTTTTTGTTGCTGTTGTAATAAAGTGTCTGTTTTCCACTTCCTACTTTATCCTTCCCCAGAATCTCAAAGCTCTGGAAAATATTGCTTCCCTCAGTATTTCACTTTCCTTACAAGTTAAAAAGTGTCAAAACCCAAATGTTTTGTTTTTACCTAAACAATGTTTCTTCATGGTTTTATCTTTCTTGGTAACCTTCTCCAGCCCCGCAATCTATGAGAACTCTGTGGTGGTCCAATTCTGGACTTATGTGTCACCTCAACTTACTTCAGTCTACTACAAACAGCTGTGCTATCAGTTCTCTAAGCCTTTAGTTCTGATATTCTGAAGTTCTGCTGTAACCTCTCCAACTCTTCCTTTAAGATGCTACTCAAAGCCTACCTTTCACAATGTTTTTGGTCATCTCTCTTATTTTTTCCTTCTTTGACATAATATCAGTTGTTTGACTCTACTTCTGTGAAGTGCCTTGGCATGACTTACTGTATTAGATGAAACATAAAAGAGATAGTTGTTGTTAAATTATCTACTTTCCCCTTGTGGTTGACACCATTCATAAGATTTCGTATTAAGTCATACTAACTGATCATCAAATAAGTTGAATACTGTTGCCTTTCAAAGCTCGATATAGTCTAAATTTATTGCCCTACCCATCACTAGATATTTGTGAGATAACAAAGTGTAGAGCTGGATGAACACAGCAGGCCAAGCAGCATCA